AGAATACGTCGTGATATGATTTAAATCTTTTTAATTGAAGGGTAATAAAATGCTCCCTATAGGACATCAATGCTATGAGAAATTGCGCGACTTGCGGATAGTGCATTAGCGAATAGGGCAGGAAGAAATTAATTTATGTAAACTTTTTTTTAATTTGCGAGCGATATTACATCTGATCATGATGACACCAGATATCCTTTCCGTGCATTAGAAAGGGACAAAAGACTAGCTATTAATACCATTTTGTGCCGATCAATTTGCGGACAAAGTCATTTGGGGTTATCACTTCGAGTACTCAAGTGCTCTTCACCATTTTATAGATTTACAGTCCAGTCAGAGATATATCTAAGAAGACCTTTACGAAGGTTTTGTTTGGGGAGAAAAGTGCTCAAAGTAATGAGGAAACTTGGTGTATGGTACATATACTGCTCACAAATATCCTTTCATTAGTGTTTATTCATGTTTCAAATGATTTTGGTGAATTTTTCCAGGTATGGACGATGAGCGCATTAGTCGGGTTTCGTCATCGGTTAAGTTGGAATCTGATGAAAAGGTGACTTCTTTGTGAAGCATTTCCATTCTATTTGTTTGATTTTTTAGAGTAATTTTTAGATGGATTTGAGTTTTTCGTCCTAGTAAATTTTCAATTCATAATTTCAGACAGTTGAGCTCAAAAACGAACTGGTACGAGTACAACATGCAGAGGAGCAGCTGAGAACGAAAACTCAGCGGGCTGTAGCTCAACTAAAGGATGTAGAGGCGGAACTGAACAAAGTACGTGCACGCAACGAGACTCTTGAGAAGAAGCAGCAAAGGTAATTTAGTGGTTTGGAGCATTATCCAGGTACCTGGAGCAAATTGGAAGTCGCTTAGGTTTGATGCTGATATTAGCACTGTACAGACACAGTTGAATGAAATGAAGGAATATAAGGTGAAGGCTGAGAAGGAGCGAGATGAGCATCAGATGATGGCGATGAGAAGAGCTAATGAGCTACAGGTCAGTTGTTAAGAAATATGGCTAGTTTTTTTTTTGAAGAAATTCAAATTTTTTTTGGTATTTACGTTAGCCTTCTGGGCTGGATAGGGCGTTCTTTTTTCAGGTGCTATTCGTTACTTGTACCAAGCAAG